AATACGTTACAACAAACACTCCATTTCTCATTGCACTGAGGAACTCACAGAGTAGCCATGGATGTTTTTCTGATGTGCAACTACTGGCCCAAGATTTTTATTTATCCAAATAAATATAAGAGGTGGGAATAATGTTTTAATAGTTTACTGTATGGGAACAGCAAATTCCTTTGTGTTCCTTTGAATAGCACATCTTTCACTTCAGAAAGTGCATAAGGTGGAGAGGTTTGCATCAAAATAATTTGAGAGGTTATAGTATGGTCATGCTCTGCTCACCAGTTAGTAATGCAAAATTAATCCAGATTTCCTCTGTAAAAGACATGCTATTGAAACTCAAAAGATCATTTCTTCTGTAGTTGAAGAAACAGATCTCCAGATCCATACTTCACTGCTTCATCCTGAAGTGGCTTTCATTTTAAAGAAATTGCAGTAATGAGTGAAAATATGTACAAAAATAAATGTACTTGAAATTGATTTCTATAATCATATGTTGTCTTGGGAAATTAGTAAATTGTACATTTTTCATTGTATTAAAAGATTTTTATTTTTATTATTATATACTTTGAGTGTCATACTCATATCCACAAGAAAGCTATGATTTCAGTTTGCAATCAAAGTATGCCTGATTTAGGACCAGCAGTGCTTTGCAAAATGCTCTTGATTCACAACATGTCTATAGAAGAAATAACTTTAAAACTAACTTAATAACAGCTATTGGTAGGACAATTCTGGCTATTGTTGCAGAAGAGCCAAGTCTCAAAGGTCTTCAGTTCCAATGCTGTGATTTTGCATACAGAAAATAAAATAGGCAGCGAGCCTAAATATCTTATTAGTTGGCATCTCCACTGAAATGGCAATTCATTGTCAGTGCTTTATAAGAAGTAGAACTATTTGTTAGGCTAGACATAATGTGCATAATTAAGTGCAATGCCCCAAGTCTGGAAAATGGGTTTAAACCAAATGCAGGATACAATAGTGCCAAGAATGGATAGGAAGGAGGAGTTAAAATGGATAGGGTTTCTTATACACAATTACTTAAATGGGATGGTCAAAATTGGCAGTTAAAATCTTTGGAAGATTTAGTACATGTAAATATTACTTATTCATGGTTTCAATATAGACAGATAGTGGATAGATGGAAGATGGATAGTAGTACAGGCTTGCTTAGAGAAGATGAGAATCTCTTTAAACAAGTAAGAGATCAAAGGCGAACTCATATTAAGAGAATTTATGGGGTTCTAGTGGAACTGGATTCAGAATCAGAATTAATTAAAGAATATATGATTAAATGGGCACAAAATTTTGGTGAACCAGTTCTATTGGACACCTGGGAAACTATCTGGGTGAGAAATGTTAAATTTACGCAAGCCCAGAACCTAAGGGAGAACTTTTATAAAATGTTTTATAGATGCACCTTGATCCACAAAAAATGTCTCGTATGTATCCTGACTTACAGCCTAAATGTTGGAGATGTGGATGTTTGAATGCTACTTACTATCATATCTGGTGGTCGTGTAAAAATATAAAAGCTTTTTGGATTAAGATATGGTGGAATATTCAAAGAATTTTTAGAAGGAGGGTAAAATTTACCCCACAATTATTTTTGTTAGGTATTGTTACCGATTGTGATACTCAAGAGACTATATTGATGCTAAATTTGATTACAGCCGCAAGGCTGTTAGTAGGGCAATACTGGAAGAAGGAATCTTTGCCTACTTTGCAAGAGTGGTTTTTTAAAGTTTCTTATCTGGCGGAAATGGCAAAGATTTCGGCTTTCTTAAAGGATCAATCACAAGAAAAAATTTTTGCCGTATGGGAAAAATGGATAAATTTCATACAATACAAATTGGCTATAAAGAAACACCATCTAGCTTTTCCATAATTTGTATTTAAATTTGTATTTTATAGATTGTATTCTTTCTTTCTTTTCTTTTCTTTTCTATCTTTTTTTCTTCCTTTTTTTTCTTCTTTTTTTTAAGTATTTTTTTTCTTAATGCTTATGTTTTTATTGTTATATATATTTTATTGTTAATTATCTTATAAGTTGATTATTTTTTTTAGAATTTTTAAAATTTTAATTAAGCCTATATTCAGCTCTGGGAAGCTCGGGGGGAGGGAGGGGGGTGGTTTGGGAGGGTTTGGGTGAGGGTTGTCTTGTTTTTTGTTGTTGTCTTTTTTTGTTTTTTGTAAAACTTTCAAAAAATTTCCAATAAAAAAAAAAGAATGGATAGGAAGGGATAGACAATATAATAGGTCAGTGATGGCAAACCTTTTAGAGACTGAGTGCCCAAACTGCAACCCAAAACCCATTTATGCATCGTCGAGTGCTGGGTGGATGTGGCCCATTGGGTGGGTGTGGCCCATTGGGTGGGCGTGGCTGAGCATGGCCCATTGGGTGGGCATGGCTGTGGTGGTAACAGCAGACTAGGTGGGACTAAAAAGTTCAATCAATCAATTCCAACTTTGCAAGATCTTTTTTTTCCCGCGAGAAGTTGAAATTGACTGATTGAATCTTTTTTTTTTTTTTTGGCACATGGCGGCGGAGGCCTAAAGTGAAAAGGTTTTATAAAACCCAGCTGAAGACCTAGGACTGGGGTGATGGTGCGCATGCCCACAGAGAGGGCTCTGAGTGCCGCCTCTGGCACCCGTGCCATAGGTTCGCCACCACTGTAATAGGTGCATTCCAGAAGAATCACAGATCAATGTGGGGACAGATCACAATGGTATTTATAGTGTATGGGTGGAAAACAGAAAGCAGATGGACTTGTTTGATTAGGGTCAATTTAAAAATTCAGCATATTGCTACTAGCTGCCTAATTAGATATTACAGAACTATACTTCCAAAGAACAAATTGATGCTGTTCTATAATCATCTCTCTGAAGAGAAGGCTTCTACAGGATTGGAAAGTATTTTCTGAACAATTTAAGTTACATTTTTGGACTTCATAGTTTGAAAGACAACTGCAGATATCTCGATTTGTCATTCATTACTATCCTTATATAAAACTAAGGAGCATCTAATTCCAACCCTCTGCAATGTACAGGAAAGTCAACTAAATCATTCATAAGAGGTGGTTATCTTGATATTACATATTTTTATTGAATGTTCAGTCCAGCTTCCCCACAAATGGAGAACTCCCAAACTCAATAGGTAAAGTGTTCCACTCATGTACAGATATTTCTGTTTAGGAAGATTTTCCTTACAGGTAATCTTAAACTTGACGTCTTTGAACTATGCTGCTGGAGTAAATTATTGCATATACCATGCATATACCATGCAACCAACAAAGAAGTGCTGAATCATATAAAGCCAGAAACATCACTAAAAGCCAAAAATCACAAGATTATGTTTGATTTACTTTGGCCATGCTATGCATGCAAATTCATTGGAGAAGTCAATAATGCTAGGAATGGTTAGTAGATCAAGAAGAAGGGGCAAGCAAAGAATTTGCTGGCTTGAAATGTTAAAAACTGATATAAAGATGAGCATCCAACAACTGCAAGAAGCTGTGCTTAACAGAATAGTATGGAGAGCACTTACCTATAAAATTGCCAAGACTCAGACATGACTGAATGGTTAAAACTACTACTACTACACCTGTTAAACAGTAAACAGTAACAGAGTTGGAAGGGACCTTGGAGATCTTCTAGTCCAACCCCTTTCCTTAATCAGGAGACCCTATATCTATACCATTCCAGACAAATGGCTGTCCAATCTCTTCCTAAAACCTCCAGTGATTCGGCACCCACATCTTCCAGAGGCAAGCCATTCCATTGATTAATTGTTCTCACTGCAGGAAATTTTTCCTTAGTTCTAGGTTGGATCTTTCTTTGCCATCCATTACTTCTTGTTCTGCCCTTTGGTCCTAGATTTTGTGGTAGGAAAAGTAGTTACTACCGACAGCACAAATCAAAAACATCTTGTTTTGGGCAGAATACTTTTCAAAAAAATGCAGGTAGTCCTCAACCTATGACCACAATTGAGCTCAAAATTTATGTTGCTAAGTGAGAAACTTTTACGATTTTTCTTGCCATAGTTGTTAAGTGAATCACTGCAGTTGTTAAATTCATAACACAGTTGTTAAGTGAATCTGGTTTCCCCATTGGCTTTGATTGTCAGAAGGTTGCATAAGGGGATTATATGACCCTGGGACACTGCAACCATCATAAATGTGAGTCAGTTGTCAAGCATCTGAATGTAAATCACATGACCATGGAGATGCTGCAACAATTCTTAGTGTGAAAAATGATCATAAGTCACTTTTTCCAGTGGCATTGTAACTTCAAACGGTCACTAAGTGAACTGTTGTAAGTAGAGGACTACCTGTAGTTGGGTAGTTGAAATCTCCCTTCTCAATATTTTATGCTTTTAAAGGCTTCAGATCTAGATTAGGGAATGCTAGATTCAGCATTCAGGGTTGATCAAGAACTTTAGCCTAAAATATCTCTCAGCCCAATCAGAAAGCTTGAGGAAATACTAAGGAAACAGAAACACAGGTACACTTGCTCATATATGCAGTACAGAAAATTTGGGATAGAAACACAACAAACAAATAGATGTATATATATCATCATTTTACACTTTCATAATCTTGGAGCATGATTTATAAAATGATTGATGTAACATGGGAAATATACTTATTGTATCTGCAGTTGTTACTAGAAAAGTTATTGTAATTTCTTTTTACTTCTGCTAAATTTCATAGAATATATCAGTGTAGTGATATAGCTGAATCATAAATTGAGTCTGTTACCATTACATTTTTTATCACTTTTAGTTTAAATGTGTTAGGTAATATGCAAAAGAGTTAGGGTACAATTGTTTATATGTGATTAAAAATAGTTCTAATAATAATTTTTTATCTGAAGTATTTAATCTAAACATTACAACTTCCTTGATTCAAATCTGTCAAATTGCGTGTGTATTTCAAAGGTCAGTTTGAGGATAGGCCTAAATGATGAAGATTTATATTGAATGATAATATGTATTTATATCCTAGGGAAGAAAAAGAGCAGTGGATCCGGGCCAAATATGAGCAAAAACTCTTTCTTGCTCCACTGCAATGTTTAGACCTTTCTTTAGGTCAGCACCTGCTACAAGCAACTGCAGAGGAAGATCTGCGGACTGTCATCCTGCTTCTTGCGCATGGGACACGTGAAGAAGTGAATGAAACCTGTGGAGAAGGGGATGGGCGATCAGCTTTACATTTGGCTTGCGGGAAAGGAAATGTCGTGTTGGTGCAGCTCTTAATTTGGGTAAATAAGTACCACATGGATTTGGAATATGAAAATGTTCAGATTGTCAGTGTCAGTGAATCAGATAACCAGATGCTCTTGCATTTGTTTCCAATAGAAGAAAACTCTGGTATGAGATATTTTTATTAAAGATACAGTCCTGATTTGACTGATACCTCTCAAATCTATTTTGGATTCTCTTATGGCCGATTTTGGTGCACATCTTAAGATATGATCCTCATGTCATTTTGATATGAATTCACTCAGACCAAAGATATAAGAGCGGCAATGCTGGTCCAGGGTTCTTAAGCAAAGAACATGGCAAAAGCAGCTCAGATTTAAAATCCCAAGATAAGAAATTGGAAAAGTAGACCTTAGTCTAATGAAAAGTCTTTTTCTTATAGACTTTTCTGCCTGCTCTGTTTTGAAGTGATTGCAGGGCTTGAAATGTTGTCTATTCTTTCCACAGTATGGTGTTGATGTTATGGCACGTGATGCCCATGGAAACAATGCTTTGACCTATGCGAGACAAGCAACAAGCCAAGAATGCATTGATATCCTCCTGCAGTATGGTTGCCCGGATGAGCGCTTTGTCCTTACAGCTACTCCCAATTTATCCCGAAAGAATACTAATAAGAACAACAGCAGTGCAAGGATCATCTGAACAATTTAGTTCTTCGTCTCCTTGTACAGCCTTCTATTAGTTTGAAAGTGTAAATCTATATGTCTCTAAAAAATTGCTTCTCTTCTTCTTCTTTTCATTTCCACCAAGATATTGTTAAGTAGCACTGAGAGTGTTAATACACAAGGAAAAATGAATTACAGAGACCATTTATAGTAATACAATGATTTTGAATGAAAAAATATAGAAGGGAGAGAATAAAGAGGGATCATGAATATACTAATGAAATAGCTCATGACAGGGGACCATTTTACTGGATATCTAGGTTGAGTTTTAGGAGTATTGCATGAGAGTTACTGGAGAGAGACAATAGAAGGAAAAAGACAAAAAAATGGTAACTTTCTTTAACTGACAGTTAAGTGCATTCATACATTTCATCTCTACCAAACTGAACATTTGGGTTTCATTCTCTTTTCCGAAGAGCTTGACGGCATAAATCAGAGGCAAGCACAGAGTTTTTCAGGTCTGAAGCTCCTATGATGGTATGTGTCAAATCAGTTGTAGCTAATCTGTCCAGAGAGAATACTGGCTTCATTACACTTATATAGTTGAGTTCTTCCAGCATTACTGCTGTTTAATAGAACATGATTAGTCATCATGGAGAAAAAGGCATATTAGCCGAGGAGGTAGTTACATGCCACGCTTCAGTGATTGCTTGGATGTGATTGCAATATTCTTAGAAGCATCATATTATCTCAGACATGTTCTTTGAAGCCCTTGGAGCCTTCCTTTCTAAATTCACTGTCATAATTTAGTATCTGTTTAATTTTTCAGTCCAAAGAGAGAAAATCAGTTCCTGAGCATTATTTGACTACAACCTCATTGGTGGAAAAACAAAATAGAAAAAATAAAAATAGCCATGAAATGCAAAGAGGAATAATGAATACTGCTAGGGAAAATATATTTCATGTACATTCATGAGAATAACTATATAAAAAGCCTTCTTTTTAAATATTAGCTGGGATCTTTCATGTGCATTTCCTAAAGTAAGCAGATTTTGTATTGTATTCCTTGGTTAACAGTATAAAGACATGAATTAGAATTCTAAGTGTTCATAAATATGGATTGATTTTTTTAAAGTACATAAGTACATTTTTTGTTAATTTGTAAATTGCAATTAATGTAAAATAATGTACAGATAGTAATAATCTAAGGGATCACAGATCATAATGATAGATCATGGAAATAATGCCATATTTTATTCCTTTGATTGAGATCACATCTGATTATAATATTGGTGCACATGTTTATAGAAAAATGGTCATGGCCTATGATTTGGAAGGGCAGGATAACGTTCTGCCTTCCAGAAGGACAAATATCCACTGCATATTGTGGTGGGACTGTATACTCTGAGTGGAGGAAGACTGAAAACTATGAGTAAGGAATGCAGAAAATGAGGCACATTCTGGTAATTACTTTGATATCACTTTTTAAAAGGGAATATGGTTTCTTGCATTCCAAAACAATTTGGCTGAATAGGCTGATTTGGGAAAAGTTTAGCATTTAATTATAGATTATAACATTTTCATTATTTTAAGTAGCACTGAACTATTTTTTGTTTTTCCTTCCTTTGTATGAGCAAAGATAAACATAGTATTCTAGAAAATGAAGATGGTTAATACTAGATAGAAAAAGTCATAAGCAATTTTTTAATGGCCAACTGAACAATTCCATTATATTTTTTGTTTGAAGGAAAAGTATTTGGAGACAATACGGCATTGGATTAAAAATGTATTGATAAGGTAAAAAGAAAAAGTTTGAAATTTCTTGAAAAATTAAGAAACAGCCATATCACTTATAATATTTATTGGCATACTGTTCCTTGGCTTTCTGTTTTCATATATTAGATTTCTAAACATTTTAAACAAAAATAAATTCTTTGTGATAGCAATCTCACAACATGAATATAAGTTTATCATTTGGAACATATTCAAGCATATTAGGGTGTCTGCAGCAAGCCAAGTTTTGTCAAAATGGTGACAATATAAACTGTACCTCCTTGTATACTATCTTGGGATGTCATGAATGCAGTACCAAAGAGGTGGAGTTTGCATTGCAATCTTCAATCACATATTTTATGAGTTGTCCTCCCTTGAGCTGCTGTCTATGAAACAGATCCTAGTTAAAAATAGCTTTCTTCACAGTTCATATTTGATAGTGCTACCTATTGTCTTCTATTCACAAGTAAACTAGCTGACATGTTCTTGAATACCTCCACCAATTGCAGGGGAAGTACAGGAGAATATCTGCCGCTTTTCAGAGAGGTGCTGGACTTCTTTTAAAATACACTAAAGTATCATATCAGTGAAGAGGTTGCAACCTAGGTTGTTGAGAAAGCTATCACCAAATCCAGCATGAACTTTCCGTCTTAGTAATAGTTATCCCCAAGACTGAATGAACTTACCCTCTTAAAGCTATACAGCAAATTAAAAGATTTCTCAATCAAAAATTACATTTCCCAATAGTTTCATAAATTTAACTTTTTAAAATAACTTTTTAATTATTACTTTGAATCTTTTTGCATGAAACAGTAAGGATCAGTTTATTTTCATTATAAAATTGTAGGCAAGTACGTAAGAAGGAAGGAACTCAAGTTGATGGAAGTATTTAAGATTTCTATTGAGAATATATACCACAAACCCAGAATAGTTCCTGTAATTAAAGAATTGTAATAGTTAAGTTTGGATTAATACCATTATTTTGACCTAAATGAAAGTGTTGAATGTTGGTGAGGAGTTTTGAAACTCTCTAAGGAAGTTTTGTGGAATACATTCAGGTTTTAGCACATCCTTCTCATCATTATATAGTATCTGTAAATCTTTAGATAGAAGTGATTCTTCATAATAAATCTACCTTGAGTTGATCTTTGATGACCACATTAACAAATCTATGTTGTTTTCTTGGCAACAATATGGAAGAGGTTACTCATTGTCTTTTCCAATATTATAATTTTCCAGTCCAGTGTCATCTTTATAGAGCTGAGGCTTTCTCCCTGTTTTCCATCGAGGAACTAATGAAGTCCAGTTAGATGTCATCATATTCTATGACTATGTTATAAAAAATTATACAAATCATACCCCCCCCTCTCTTCACACTCTTAAGTGAAAGTAAGGCACCTAAAAGTTGATGTATGTAGTATATAAACTAGTCTGTGAATGTATTTGTGTCTGCATGCACAGACACACACTCACATTTTAGCATCTTCTTTTCAGCTTAAGAATATGTTGCCAGCTATATATTCAGTATTACCAAGATTAATGACTCTTTAGATGTTTGCACAACATTTATATGTATCTGTTGTTTGCTCAAAGTGCTTGAAAAATGTAAGTTTTTCAGTAGAATTAGACCAGGATTGTCAAACTCAATTTCATTGAGGGCCGCATTGCGGTTGTCCTCAGGGGGCCAGATAGGTGTGGCCAGGGTGGGTGCAGCCTACTGGGTGGGAGTGGTATGGCCTACTGGGTGAGCATGGCCAGCTCTACATCGTTTGTGTCAAAGGTGCCTGTGGAGGCCTGAGCAGGAGTGGGACAGATCCGAGGGTCTCTGGCAGAAGGGGATGGGCAAGCACCAAGGCATGGTCCACTGGAAGAGCCTCACTGTTCCTCTCAGGCCATGCAGGGGGGGGGGCTGGATGGTGCCGCGGGCTTCCCAGAGCCCTGGGCAGCAGAGGTCAAATGCCCAGCCTGCCCCCTCAAGCACCAAGCCCAGCCTCACTACCCCAAGGGGGTGCCCAGTTGCACTTACCTCCTCCTCAAGGCTGCTGCTGCTGTGCTTGCTCTCCTTAGTCAGGTTGCTCATGATGGGTATGAAGGCAAAGTCAGAAGGAGGCCCACTCCCTCTCCATGGGAGGAGACCTGGCTTTGAATCCAAAGCTTCCTTAGCAATAGGATGGGAGACCCTCAGGATAGGCCAGGAGGAGGGGGCAAGGGGATGGCAGCAGGGCAGGACTAAGGCTGGACTTCCCTCAGACCCTCCCTCTCTTTCCTTCCTTCCTTCCTTCCTTCCTTCCTTCCTTCCTTCCTTCCTTCCTTCCTTCCTTCCTTCCTTCCTTCCTTCCTTCCTTCCTAAGAACAGAGTAGTGGGAAAATATTTGAGATGAGGGAGGGAGAAAAGCAGGCAAGAAACTCAGCTGGGGAGGTGTCACCCTTCATGAGGAATGAAGAAATGCACCATTGCCTGGAAGTGGCCAGCACATGGCCCTTACCTACTTCACATGTCTGGCTTGTTGGGTTTGGGGCAGGGGACACCATGGGCAACGTGAGAATCAACATTACCTGCGCAATGCCATCCAACCCCCAGCCTGCCTGGTTTCGGCAGGCAGCGAGGCACTCTCCTCACAGTGCCAAGAGGCTGAGCCAGGCAGCATGAATCTGAAAAGAAGTGCGACACCACCAGCCCCCAGCCTGCCCGGTTTTGGCAGGCAGCAGGGTGCTCTCCTCACAGCACCGAGAGGCTGAGTCGGGCAGTGCGAAGCTCACCAACTTTGCACCTTGCTGCCTGCTGAAATCAGGCAGGCTGGGGGCTGAGTGGCAACGTGCTTCTTTTTGAATTTGTGCCACCTGCTCAGCCTCTCGGCATCCCACTGCCTGCCGAAACCCCTTCCCTGGAGCCCATCAAGCCGGATATGTGAAGTAGGCGAGGGCCATTTGTTGACCACTTCCAGACGATGGTGCATTTCTTCATTCCACACAAAGGGTGACACCTCCCCAACGTGCGCCCAGGGGGCAGGGCCAACGCAACAGGGGCTGGTCCCTTGCTGTTTCCAGATGGCCTTGTGGAGCTAAGACTAAATGCATTTCAGCATAGATGGCCACCACAAAATTGTACATTGACTCCCGGGTGGCCTGGGCTGGGGCCAAGGCAGCGAGAGCCATTCCCTCACTGTTTCCAGGATGGCTTTGCGGGCCACATGAAATCATGTCGCGGGCCGCATCTGGCCTTCCCGGGCCTTGTGTTTGACATGTCTGAACTAGACAGTAGCAGGCAAACTCAGGCAAGTGCAAATCCTAATTCTGGATTTTTTATTTTTGTCTAGTATTTGCACTGTCTTATGAATATGTTGCTTTATTTGTCACATTTTGAATCAAACATTTTACCAGTAAAGAAAAAAAACCTTATTCCTTCTGCAAAATATATTACGGGCATCATTAATATTTTCCAGTTAAATTACACCTTTCCAATACACTATTTAATTATTAAAAGTATTTAACTATTAACTATTAAAGAGCAATTTGCATTTATAATTATCAGTTCCTATGGAAAAAGAACTTGCCAGCTACTTTAAAAAAAAAACCCTGGGAACTAGGTGGGTCTGGAAATGGAACTCAGAGAGAAAATCCCATCACCTACAATATACAGCTAGTACATGCTTATGAGACCATTGTCACCACAGAATGCCATTTGTAGAGACTATCAAATCATTTATGTTGCCCCTTGGCCAAAAAAATCCAGACCACATCTATGCTATAATCAGAAATCAGGAACTTACCTTCAGAGCAGGTAATTCATCAAAATAAGGCAGTTAGCAAATCATGGTAAAGTGCATTATGTGGTGACAGTATTGGAAGCATCTACCTTTTTTATAACCCCCAAATGGTTGATTTAAATAATATAAAGAAAAGTATCTTCTTTTTATTGTGACTGACAAGTTCAGATATTGCTATTCCCCTCCTGTCAATTTGCCAGGTTGAAGAAAATAGAGTGGAGATAAACTGAATTTTTAATTTAGAACTCTGCACTTTTCAGAGATTGCTAAAAAATCAAAGGTTTTTTTAGATTTTATGGTTAGGGATTGGGAACATGTTATTTCTAAGTAAATCAAGTTCTGACTTAAATATGACTGTGTTTATAGCATCTTATATATTTAATCACATTCACATATTAATTAATATCATTCTTGACACTTTACATATTTTATTTCCCAGAAATTGATGTTTAGCAACATAAGGTAGACAAGCACAGTTTTAACTAGTGGGACTACTATTTATCTTAGATAATTGTTAGAGAATGCACATCTAAATGACCAAAAATTGTTTCATTAATATTTTGGAAGAACATTGCTATGATTCTGTTTGACAAGGACTATCTTCAAATACCTTCTTAGGTCTTCTGTCAATAAAGAAACTTATTTACTATTTTACTTAAATGATTTACAATTTCTATTATCCTGATTTATGCATTCATCATATTTGTAAATAAGATTTTTTTCTTATTTATTAATTCTTAATTTTAAAAAGGTGTATTTTAAAGAAAAAATAAAATCAATAAATGGACAGAGGATTAATTGTACAATTAAATCATGCCAGGCAAAAGTTATTGAGTTGTTTTTATGATATAAAAAATTAGCTCAGTGCCAAATTCTCTATTACATTATTTTTTATCAATGTTCTACCTTTTTTATACTACACTCAATCTGCAATAGCTATTGGCTTAAACTTTAGAAACAATACTCTGAGCTTGCTGCATATTATGTAATATATATGGAAGTCATTCTTACTTAAATTTGGTTAAACTTTGGTTATGCATTTATATGGTTAATTTTGCCATTTCTGCATACTCTCCATATTTCTTAATCAGATATCATTGCTACTGTGACTTCATTGCAGTGTTAGCAGTTTGTCCTTGCATCTATAAGGATGCATAAATTAAAATTCATGGTATGTACCGTAAATGCCGGCGTATAAGGCGACTTCCGCGAGCGCTGAAATCGGCGCCAAAGACGGGGGTCGTCTTATACGCCGAGTTGTCTTATACGCCGGAAATACTGGTAGTTTCCGGCGTATAAGACGACGTTCTAGGAATGCGGCCCGGCTATAAAGACGGGGGTTGTCTTATACGCCGGGTCGCCTTGTACGCCGGCATTTACGGTACTGTGACTATTCCTTTAAAGCAGCGGTTCTCAACCTATGGGTCGCGACCCCATTTGGGGTCGATCGACCATTTTTCGGGGGTCGCCAAAGGTGGCGATCCGCCATTTTTCGCGGCACCACACATGCGCGCCGCACATGGGGCGGCGCTGCGCATGCGCGTTGCGCATGGGGGCGTGCCGCGCATGCACGCGGTGCCGCGCATGCGCAAAACGTTTGTGTGACGGGGGTCGCCATCACACAAACGTTGAGAAGCACTGCTTTAAAGTGTTACATCCAGTTTATCACATATTTTAAATTATTCTGTCTCTGTATCATATCTTACGTAGGAGTTTATGTATATAGCCTAATAAGAAGTCTTGATTCTGTATAAACATTTCAAATTCTGTCATTTTTCTTAATATCCCTTGTTTTGGGATCAGATTTTATTCTTTATACATTTGTACTTCGTTGATATATCTTTGTAGATTCATCAACCATGGTCTGTTTTGGTCTCCATAGTCTTACTGTCTTTAATTTATTCATAAGATCTGGATGGACTATATTTGCATGTGTAATTATATTTTTCTTACTATAGTTATCTCCAATATGAAAACCATTTAGAAGATAAGCTAATAGTGAATTTTTTGAACGTAACTATATTGAGTTCCATATTTTTTATCAAACTTTGTGTCTTTTTAGGTTTTGTCTTTTGTGTCCTATACCATAATTATTGATGGAGCCCATTAGCTAGGCCAGCTCTTTCCAATATTAACATTCTGCTGTCAAACAACTTGCTCAGAAGTGCAGTTTGAAGGCTACCAGTGTCTTTTTAGACTTTAAAATTTTAATTTTGACTCTAGGTTTTTCCCCATTCCATATAAATATGCTGACAATTTCTTGCCATTCTTGTAAAGATTAGAATTGGTATCATGTGAAACAGATATGGAAATGGATCTTGGGTAAAACATTCATTTTGGTAATTATAATTTATTCTAATTCAGAAAATCTTAAGTTTTTCCAGTTTTCAGATCTGTTCTACAGTAATTTTTGCCATAATTTGCCATAATTGTTTTGGTATATTTCTTGATGATTACATGTCAAATGCAACAAGATATTTCACTATGAGTTATCTGGCAGCCAGATTCTTCCTGCAAGAAATCTCCTTGCATTAAATGTCTTGTGATTACTTATGTTTTTGATCATTGATTTTATATCTGGAGAATTCTCCAAAGCTGTGAATTGTTTTCATCAAGTGTCTTATCACACCTTGTGCTTCTGTTACAGTTTATATTACATCCATCTGCATAATATTTAAGCTTATATTACTCTGTACAGATTTTGAGACCAGACATTTGTTTTTCATCTCAAAACTTTTCTGCCAATATTTCTAAAGCGATTATTAATAAGGGGGGAAATGGGCATTCTTGCCAGCTTGTTTGGAAAGAGCATGTTCCACTGGCTGTGATTTTTGCGATTGCCGATTATATATGCTTTTAATTCAGTGTTCGAAATCTTCTCCAAGATTTAGTTTATTTTGCACTGCTAAAATAAATGGTGAGTGGAAGTTGTCAAAGACTT